CACCACACACACACACACACACACACACACACACACACACCACACACGCACACGTTCACGCACCCATGCATGTATGGGGTGGGGCGCAGGCATGAGATCTTCACACAGCCTGGAAGGTCCCCCAATCTGACCGCTGGAATCCTCGTCTCTGTACCTGTCCCACCCTCTGCAGCACAGGTTTGTCTGTCGGGTGTTCTAGGATCCCCAGGGCAGGCCCCGGTAGCACCACAGGACCTAAAGGTGAGTGTCTCGGGGCTGCCCTGCGGGGACAGGAGCACCCGCCTCGGAATGGGGAGGGTAGTCAAGATGGGGGCCCACCAACCAGCCTGGACGTTAGGTCCTCGCCAGGGCCAGTCACAAGGACACCTAGCAAGGAGGCCACATCCCTGGCCTCATTTGCATGCTGGGGCCACCGAGTTGAGAGCTGCCTGCCGCCAGTGGATTTGAGCGGAAAGCTCTGTTCTTGTCTCTTGTCTCAAGGTCAGATCCGGAGCGGGGACAGGAACAAAGGCGGCTGTCCCCCACGCTACCTCCCAAGCCTGCCAGTCGCTCCCGGCTCCTGAGGACACATTCGATGAGGGAGATCCAGAGAACCCTGCCTGGCCTCCACAGAGACGGGGGCCTGAAGCCCGGGCTCCTCTCTGAGCAGCCTGGCCCAGTCCACAGGGTCGTCAGTGGTCACCCGAAAACAGACCTGGCTTTGGAGACAGTGGGAGGTCGGGGCCCGCTGTGGGGATAAATGTCAGTGAAGGTCAGGGGTCACCAGCGTGAAGAGTGGGTTCAGACACATCTTGGGTGGAGATCTGTCCCAGGCTACCTGGGTCCTTCGTCCACCTCCTGGGGCTGTGTGCTCAGGCCATGGTCCACTCTACGACCTCATCCACACCATGAAAGGCTTTCGTGGCTCTGGCCCAACCTAGTCTGCACCCAGCAACCCTGGCTGGTCCCGCATGGCCCACCGCCTGCCCACTCGGGTACACAGGGCAAGGCCTCAGGCTCCTGATCTCACAGTCTGGCGGCCCCACAGCCATCAAAGGCCACATCGCCAGGCAGGGGGCTAAAAATATGCAGAGAGGAATTTCTCCTTACAGAATAAATTGTACCAAATTGCCCGCCTGAGCTGAGGCAGGGCTGGGCAGTTGAGGGGGTGTGGGATATGGATGCCATGAGTGACCCCTTCTACCTGGTCACCTGTGGCGTAGGGACAGGGCGGGTGGCCTGTCCAGCTGCAGCAACAGGCACCCACTGCGTCCCAAAGAGGGGCCTTTGGGTTGCTGGCAAGCACCACCCCAGAAGGACGCCCCCTCTCCCGCTCCCTCTCTCCATTGAAACCACCCCCCCTCCTACCTGCCCCCCATCTCGTCCACCCTCCCATCTGTCATCCACCCTCCTCCCGCTCAGCATCTTCCTCTCCCTCCATGCCCGAGCCCCAGCCCCAGCCCCAGCTTCCCACGACAAGACCACCCAAGTCCCAGCAGACAGCTGTGCCTGGATCCCGGCAACTCCAGTGCCTGCCCAGGCCCCCTGGGCAGAGACCAATGCAGGCCTGAACCCTACAGAGGCTCTCGGGGACCCTGGCCTGCTGTCCCTGGGGGAGCTTGATGCAAATGGGTCGTAACTCTGACTTCCCAGGGAGAGGACAGCGACATTCACCTCCCCCACCCCCCCAGTGGAACACCTGAGGGCTGGCTAGGGTGGGGCCCCACTGAGAGGCCTGGCTTGCCCACTTCCAGGATCTTTATTTTTTGCGTATTGTGGCGTAGCCGTCACAGGCCAGCTTACAGGAGTCAGTTCCGCCCTTGACCATGCGCGTTCCGGGAATCAACTGAGGCTCGGCAGCGACCGCCCTCACCTGCCTTGCCTCTGCCAGGCCAGGGCTCAGACTTAGGATGGGTACAAGCGGCAACAGTGTCTTGAGTTCAAGCCCGGGCGCGTGTGTTTGGTGCGGGGCGCCGCCCGAGGCATGCACACTCACTGTCCGTGCACACGCAGGCTGGCCCGGCCCCCAGGCCGTCCATCTCGCCTGACAGGCCTCTCTCCTGGCTTTCAGCTGTGCAGAGCGCCGGCTAATAGTGCATTAACCTTGACGGAACTGCCAATTATCCGCGCTAATGCCGGGGTGCAGTGACTGCTGACAGGCGGATGGTGGTGGGGCCACCCTCCCCGCTCACGCGGAGGCTGGGGCGGGGGCCTGGGTCTCTCCTGACCTCATTAGACTAATCACCCTGCCTTTTGAAGCTCCAGCAATGGCTGAGCTGTGGGACCAGGGGCGCAGATCACAGAGTCTGGGGGGCCGGGGACCAGGCACAATACAAAGATGGAGAGTGACCAAGGGGCACAGGGCCCCCAGAGCCATGACTCGGGAACACTGGCTTCCCCTGGGTTCAGGCTGGGGGGGGGGCGGCAGAGGCTTCCTGGGGGCAGCAGGCCTGGCTGAGCAGGGACCCAGCCACTGGAGGGGACAGGCAGAGACAGGAATGGGCTCGGCCAGGCTCTCCATCCAGACCACGGGACGGAAACAGACGGCCAGGCAGCCTCAGGGGTCCCGCTCGGCCCAGCTGGAGGTCAGTGGGGCCCGGAAGTGGATGAAGACTGGGTGTCCATAGGACAGGAGCTGGGCCACAAATTCAGGCCCCCATGAGGACAAAGGTCGGAGGGTTCTTTGGAGGGCCGATTTGCAGATTTGCGGTGGGGTCCGGGGAAGCTAGGTGGCACGCGGCTGCCACCTGGTGGCCACTTGTTGTTATGACGAGAAAGAGTGGACAGAACAGTGGCCTGGGAAGACTGAGGCTGACCTCGGGCTGCAAGTGCCTTAGGTGTCCGGTCCCCCTCTCCTCCCAGGCTAGACCACAGAGGGAGGGTGAATGGCCAATGCTGAACCGCAGCCCAGAAGCTACTGGGAAACTCTGCCAGGTGCCAACACCCTGAGGCAGAGGGCCACCGCTGCAGCCCTGGAACACGTGACACCCACGGGCAGGGGGTGTCCTAGGCAGCCAGGAATGACAGCCCTCACTCACGTCACCGGGACGCCTGGGTGTGGGGTCCAGGGGGGGTTTCAGGTCAGCCACAAAGCCACTGCTTCTTTATTGTCCCTAAAGCAGCAGGAAGGTCCGTCTGCTCCATCACGCCCGGAGGGCGGCCTTGTCCCTCAAGGGAGGCAGGATGACAGAGCAGCACACGTCAGTCCAGCTCCAGGGACCTCAAGTCTGTGGGCTGCTCTCGGCGAGGTGAGGTCAGACTGTCCTGGCCCAGGCGGCGTCCGGACTGTGCAGGCCCCCTCCAGGAAGCTGGCATCCGAGCCCGTGGAACACGCCCTCCACTGTCCTTGCAGCCTGACGTCCCCTCCACATCTGCAGCGGGGACAGACGGACAGGACATGGGATGCAGTGACGATGGCCGGAGGGCCTCCTTCCAACCCAGCCCAGCCCAGAGCAAGCGATGCCCTTCCAGTCGGGTGTACCCCTCAGGGCCCTGGAAAGCCAGATCGAGGGCCTAGGGGGTCCTGGCTCCTCCCCTGCGGCCCTCCCCTGGAACACTCCTGGGCCTGTTCCCACTAAAGCCACCATGAACCTCCCTGACACCTGCTTCCGTGGCTGCACACTCCCAGATCGCACTGGGGGACTCCAGGTGAAGCTGCTTCTGCCTCTGAGCTAGACCTGGAGCCCTGTTGGTGAAGTGCTTCCTACCATCTCAGATTCCTGGTTTCAAAGACCGTCTCCTCCTCGCTGTCCAGGGAGGCCATCTCTTCATGCTCGTCTGTGTTGGTCAGAAGCCCATACCTCCTTCGCTGAGTCTTCTTGAGTCTGCAGGGGCACAAACACCCTCAGCGGCTACCAGCACGCTCCTGCCCACCCCCACCCCCGAGGCCTGCGGCATCTGCAGATGTGAATCCTTTCCTTGTAGGAGCTGCAAGAGCGACCTGGGCACGGGAAAGCCGCTCGGGTCGGCTCGCCCGCCACAGTTTCCTGTCTGTCAGAGCAGCTGGGAAAGAATGGAGGATCGGAGGCTTTTTTGAGTGTCTCGCCACCCAGGCTGACCATTTCCTTCTCCAGGTCAGGTGACCCTCACTCCGTCTCCACTTCCCGAGTGTTGAGATGACACCCAGGGCTTTGTGTGTTCGAGGGAAAAGCTTTACCCAGAGCCTCAGCCAGGGAAGGAATTCTGCATTTCTTGCAGTGTGGCCGGGGCCGTTTTTTGTATGCCTGTCACACAGCACTGGGGAGACTGAGGCAGGAGGATGGCCACACTGAGGCCGCTGCCCACTTAAGCCAGTCTAGAAACCACAGGAGTCGGGAGCAAGAACTAGGCCGGATGCCTGAGTCACGTGCTCTCCCGCCCACCCTGCAATGACTTACTAGATGCTGATTGGATGCGCTAACGCACCTAAAAGCCCGGATGAGGAAGTAGAGCGAGATCAGGCCGCTGAGCCCGGTGATCACGTAGAACAAACGAAGCAGCATGGGACCTGTGCCCGGGGGGCCCCCGTGCGTATAGTTGCGAGGTACGGCCGGCCAGCTCGAGTTTTCGGGGGACCCCGGGGCGGCGCACCGGAGGAGCAGCAGCAGCAGCAGCGGCAGCAGCGTGCACGGCGCCATGCCGGAGCCACGGAGCCAAGGCGGAAGTGAGC